AAAAAAAAAAAAAAAAAAAAAAAAAAAAAAAAAAAAAAAAAAAAAGGAAAAAAAAAAAAAAAAAAAAAAAATCAAGAAACAAAAAACAAGTTGTTGTAATCATCAGAGGTTGGGAGGATAGAGCTACTACAACAGAATTCTACGCGGACTTCTTTGTTGTACTATTCAACTTACAGAATCAAGTAAAGTGGGTTATTTCATTCCGCTTTTCAGCATACTCTCTGTATGTTTACCCGATTGGTATTACTTTTATTGCTAAATTTAGTCATCATATACGAGTTTGTCAAGTTGTCGCTATTCAAATCAAGCAAGTTTTTAGCCACGGCTTCCACATCGCTTTTAATTTTACTTTCATTATACTATTTATCAACTTCAGTCAACTTGGAATCGGATAAGAGTTGGGATAAATACGTTCCTTTCAACATCCCACAACTATTTCACAAAGCTATGAATTCATCATCACGATTTGGACGATCAGGAATTAATCGATTCAATAGGAAAAAGACTAAGGAACAGAAATTTGCCATTGTAAATGGTGGAGAAGTTGGTGGGATCAGTAATGATGGAAACACCTGTTTTATGAATTCGGTGATACAGTCCTTGGCGTCATCAAGACAATTTATGAAATTTATTGACTCGTATCTCTATTCAGAAATTGAAATAGATACAAAGAGCAATGGTGAGAAGATTATGATGAAGTCGAATCAACCAAAACTGGAATTACCATTTACCACTGCATTGAAGAAGCTTTTGGATAATGTCAATGGGAAATATGGGTCTAGAGGAAAGGAGTTTAGTACCAGGCCACTTTTGAATAAGATGCCCAATGGTCCAAGGCAAAACTTCTTTAGTGGGTACAACCAAGAAGATGCACAAGAGTTTTACCAATTAATAATGAACCTATTGGAGAAAGAATTTAAAAAGATCAGTCAGAGTCGATTGCCTACACCAGAGCCAGAAGGTGAAGGAGAAACCAAGTTTCAAGATGCTCGCAATTTGAAGGAAATTGTTTCGGGTTGTAACAGGTTAGGAAAATTGGGTGTTGTTTACGTTCCCGCTGCACAAGTCGATCCTAATTTAGACGATGCTGAGCATAAGGTGATGCCCTTGGAGTTGATCACTCCTGTTGATGGGGTCTCTTGCGAACGAATTGGCTGTCTAACCTGTGGCGAGGTTGGTGGAATACGGTACGCTGTCACCAGTGGGTTGAGTTTGAACTTGCCCCAAAACCAATCGTATTACTCCAGTTTCAACTTGTTGCAGCTATTGAATGAATGGATCACTCCTGAGATAATCGATGATGTGAATTGTAATCGATGTGGGTTATTGCAAACGCAAAAGTTTCTTTTAGCTACTGTTGAAGAGCTTGAAAGCAAGGATGGAAATACAAAGCTAATTGATCAAATTAAAACAAGATTGTCTGCTATTGAGTCAGAGCTAGCTAAACCCCAAGTGAGTGATGAAGCTTTTGAGAAATTAACTGTGAAGAAGCAGATCAAAAAGAGTAAGAAATCGAAGCAAATCTTTTTGGATAGACCGCCTCCTTTGCTCAGTATACATATCAATCGATCCCAGTTTGATCCTAAAACATATATGGTGGTGAAGAACCCAAACAACGTCACATTTCCAGCGGTATTGGACCTATCACCATATATTGTCGAACCAAATCAAATCAATATGGATGCCAGGCTTCCATTTAGGAAACAAGATGAGGAGTTGAGAGGCTCTAATGGCTCTCTTGAGGATGGGCAGACTGCTTCTTCAAACCAGTCAAATAATGGTCTCATGTCACCTAACGGAACGGCCATCTCTTCAGCAGTGTCTGATCCGAAATTGTTGTACAACTTGAAAGCTGTGATTGTCCACTTTGGTACGCACAACTACGGCCATTACATTTGCTACAGAAAGTTGAGAGGAACTTGGTGGAGGATTAGTGATGAGTCGATCTATGTGGTTACCGAGGAGGAAGTTTTGGGTGGACAAGGTACGTTCATGTTGTTTTATGAATACAACGATGGGTTTGTGGAGGTGTTGCAGGATGTCTCTGATGATGAAGAGGAGAGATCTAGTCCTGAGGCGAAGGAAAGTGAAGGTGAGAGTGATGGTGATGACAAAGAGGACGAAGAGGAGACGGAACAAACAAAAACGGAGTCAGTGCCCAACTCAGCGGCTGATGAAACTTTGACTACGTCAACAACGTCGTTATCTGATGTGTCAATGAAAAGTGAGAAGCAGAAACAAATAGATGAGTCTGAGGAAGAAGAGGAGGAGGAGGAGGAGCAGGAAGAGGAGCAGGAGCAGGAGCTAGTGGAACAGGGGGCTCAACCCCACCAAGATTTTGACGTGGCTGAAGCGCAGGTCCATTTATAGTGCTACCAAATTCTAGAGTATATAAATTATTATTTTCCACGATGAGTAGTCCAGAAAAATCTCCATCGCAAAATGGCACGTAAACTAAAGGACAAACACCTCGCCTCCAAAGGTCTCAAAGGCTCTCTTGCTCGACTAAAAGTCCAAGAACAACTCAATGCAAAGGCTGTGAAAAATGCCGAGATTGAGAAGCAAAATCAGCTTAATAAGCAAAAATCATTGACAAAGAAGCAAAGGAGAAACAATGCCAAACAAGTTGCCGCAGTTAAAGGGTACTTGCCGTTTAAAACAAATGACACGGTCTTGCTTATTGGAGAAGGCGATTTCTCATTTGCCAAATCGTTAGTTGTGCAGAATTTCATCCATCCAGAAAACTTGATTGCCACAAGCTATGATTCTCTCGAAGAGGCTAAGCTGAAATATTCCGGCGTTGAAGACACATTGACTCAATTGGATAATGACGGGGTACGAATTATGCATGATGTAGATGCCACAGATTTACCAAGGACGCTAAACTTTAACGCCAAGCAACGTCGTGGAACTGAGAGAGTCAAGTTGTTTAACGATGGTCGACAGTTGCGATACATTATGTTTAATTTCCCTCATACTGGATCCGGGATCAAGGATCAGGACCGAAATATCAAACAACATCAAGAATTGATGGTTGCATTTTTCCAAAATTGTAATCAGGTTTTTGATTTGGTTAATGTGGCCAATAAGAAACATAACGATTTTGGTGGGTACAACAATGATGATGAAGACGATGAGTATGGCAAGGTTCTTGTTAGTCTTTTTGAAGGAGAGCCATACAACTCGTGGACTATTAAGGCTCTTGCTAAAAGTAAGGGCTTCAAAGTGGAGCAGTCGGGTCGTTTTGAATGGTCAATGTTTCCGGAATATCATCATAAGCGAACCAATAGTGGAGTCAAAGATACAACAAAGCCTGCTAATGAGCGCGATGCCAGGATATACAAGTTTGAAAAGAATATAAACAAAGAAAAGACTAAGTCGGTCGATGATTCTGATTCTGACTGAAGTTCATCATGCCGGGAACACTCGTATACAATTATCTATATAGAACACTTCATGAGTTAATGGATCTTTCACCTGACCTTGTCGTAATAGCGTACTCTGTTCCGATAAGTATTCTCCATTCAGGGATAACAACTTATCGAAGGGGTATATGTTTCCATTGGGCAACCTGAATGGATTGTTGAAAATACTCGTGATCAACTGAGCAAAAGGTAGGTTTCTACTCAATTGATACATCTCGGGTGAGCAAACGGGACAGTTGTTGACTTTATGGAGAAGTCTGTAGTAGAAATCGGGACCCCTGTATTTGCGTTGTGTTAATGGGTTAATAGGAGCAGTATATGAATTGAACTTGGCAGATGTGATTAGCGTAGGAAGTGTAGGGAGAACACGGGTGGAGGTATCGATTGACAATGTCTGTGATTCTTTAAACACGGTGTTTTCAGTATTGTGATAGCATGATTTTGTCTTTAAACTGGATAGTCCTGCTGATAAGTACACAAATAATGGATAATGAGTGGTGATTCCATAAAGGTTTATGAAATTGTCAACAAAACAGCGTCCAAGATTTTCCCATCGTTCATTTGAAAGCAAACTCTCGTATTCACGGTAGGGCTGTGATTGAAACATCAATCTATTTGAAAACAACTTGTTGGAGAATGAGTTGTCCATTGAACGATATACCAATAATCCTCCTAGTCCTTTCAATCTCTCCAGATTGAGCTTGTAATTTTCAGCTTCTTCGGGGGAGTAGTTTTCCTTGTTTCCATAACTTGACAAGTTGTCCTGAGAAAACTTTATTGCTTCATTAACATCACCGCTTTCAATCAATGTGAGATACTTGCAATAATTAATTTCAAACTCGAGGTTGGAATTGGCCTTTTTTAGAGGTGCCTTATTGTCGTTGAACCAATTGATAATCAATGATAAATCATGTGCTTTGGTGATGGATAAGTACACCTTGTTGAAATCGAGGTACAAGTCATAATCAATTAGCTTCTTTATCCGAGGATTCGTCTGGGACAACGATTCAAGCAATTCGAGTCCAAGATTCTCTCCATGAGTATTGGATTTGATCAAATAATCAACAATCAACAAATTGGTCTCCATCCGGTACCAGTTGATCAAATTTGGATTATGAAAGTTGAGCATATTGTCCAGGGGCTCCTTGGTCTCGCCGTATTTACCCAACTGTTGAATATTCTCCACACGAGTAACCAAACGAGATCGGTACTCCTCATCCTTCTTGATCAAGACTTGCAATTTTTTCTGGAAAGTCTCAAAACTAGCAATCAACTTCCTAATCATTGCCAATTTAATTTCTTTTGAAAGTGTGGCATTCTTTTTAATCTTTGTAATTTCATCACTTGTCAGTTTCTTTTGCTTTTCAATGAGTTTTTGGATCAGTTTGAAATTCTTTTTGATTAGCTGGGTTGGAATGTTGAATTGCGGCTGGTGGGTCTGTATATGGAAATCTATTGTAGGCTCAGTCATGGAGAGTATGTATGTAAGTGGAGCAAAAAGGGGGAGAGAGAGAGAGATCACACTCTAATTTTCTTTGAGCTTTAACTTTTTCTTCTTTCTTTGCGCTGCGCAATGTTTTATCGTATGCAACCCCCCGGTTGTATTTTGATACCATAAGTGAAATCTTGTTAGACAACACAGTTCCTCTGTAAACTGTTCTCATGGCCATTCTTTTTAACATCGACGAAACAAAATAGATTTGTCTCCGATGCTGCTGGTGCTGTTACGGTTGCGATAGCCTAGAGAAGGGGAAATAGCGAGTCATATTCTGCTGGATCATCTACCAAGGACAGATGATCTGCTCATCTTATGACTGAGTAAGATCGAGGTCACCAATCATGGGTGGAGCCATTCTTGAGTATGGCTATGCAGACCTTTAATATCACAATAGTCACACTGAATCTACTTGAGAAGCTATTACGCATGAATGGTTTAGAATATATATATATGGTACTAGTTAGGTATAGTTTCGAGCTTTTGAATGCAAGTTAAACTTGACTTGTCTGATATCAATTCTGTCAAACAATAGTACTACAGATATACATAATCTTTTCTGAGAAGTCATGATGTTAAATTTGCACCAAATTCTTGACAATATAGAGGGTTAGCATAATTTTAATAACTTTGTATGGGTGACCACCGGCTTTTAAGCAAGAGCAGACCAGAAACAACGGCGCTGAGTAATGCAAAAAGTGTGTAAGTGACATTACGGATAGATTTCTCTTTTTCTTTTTTTTTTTTATCTTCCGCAAAATTTAGCTGCAAAAGCGCTTAATCAGAAAATAAATTCACCCACAATTTTTTAGTGTTATTACGTGAGTCGGTGTCTACATTGATAAGCTGTAGGTTTATGAACCGACAGTAGTTTGAGTGTGAGTAGGAGACGGGTGATCAGAAACGGGGGATACTGTTGTGCATGTATAATACTCTTCTTTTGTGAAGTTCTGTGGATTTTCTTGTCATTGCTTGAACTTCGCCCCAATTTTTTTTTTTCAGATGGGCCACGTGCGTTGCAGTTATTTGCAATAAAAATACAAGGGAGAGGAGACGTGGATCTCAACTTTACACAGGTTTACATGGCTACCTCATATTGATTGTTGCTATCGTTTCACAGTTGAGCTCTTCATCAGTGGTGGGTGTAATTCAGTGTTTTAAATAAATGGAGAACGTGTATTACATATACCTTTGACTGGGTCTAGATGGTTTTTATTTTGTGTGAGATATTTAACAATAAAACGCTAGTGTGGCTCTATACTCATCATCAAACGTCTCATTATCAATTAGTCAAGTATTTATACCGCAATGCTGAACGTCGATGACTTTCCAAATACTTTTTCTCAAATGGACTTAATCATCCATCATCAAAGATGCCAGACAAGTCAGTTGCCATTATTGGTGCTGGTCCAGCTGGATTAGCGGCCCTATACGAGTTCCTACACACAAACTCCAACGGTACATCGAATTTAACCGACCCATCAAAGACATACAAGGATGGTATTCCTCTTGGAGATGCGTTCAAGAGGATCGTTGTGTTTGAGCTGAAAGATACCGCGGGAGGCAACTGGGCCCCGGCTACCAAGGATGCCGATTTGCCAATCCCGCCACAACACTTGCTTGACAAAGTCAACGATCCATTCACGATCAAGCCTTCGAATGTCCTGCCCGAAGGAATCGAGCATGCCACTTTGGAGAGGCCAATTTACGTTGAAAATGAAGCGAGCACCTACGAAAGCAAGGAGAGTAGGGGCCCAAGCTCCGGCCCATTGATGAATGATCTAGAATGGAGCAGAACCGGAATTTTTCATTTCTTGTTCACAAACATACCAACTCGGTTCACGAGGTATTCCTACTTGCCACTCACTCATTATGACAGTAGTAGAAGAATATTCCCATACTTGACCCAACAGGAACTAACTCATAGGTTTCTGGACTTCATAAGTGAAAATGAGTTGGACAAGTACATTCGATTGAATAGTCCGGTTGAAAAAGTGGAAAAACACGGCAACAAGTGGGTTCTCACCATTAGACAAAAGGCAGAGGGGGGTAATTACTGGTACAATGAATCATTCGATTATGTTGTGGTTGCTAATGGACACAGCTCGTTGCCTTATATTCCAAACATCCCGGGTTTGGCTGACTACAACGCTAATTTCCCCGGCCGCATGATCCACGCGAAATCTTTTCGGGATGTGGAGGAGTTCCGAGGAAAAGATGTCTTGGTTGTTGGTGGTGGCATTTCGGCAATCAATGTCCTACAATACGTTATCCCTGTTGCGAAATCTGTCACTGATTCCAAACGGGGTCCTCATGCAGTGTATCCATACATCAACGAAGCTCTCAAGTCAGACCCAATTATACTGAAGGGCACTATTGATTATATCGATGGTGAAAGTGGTAAGTTTCATTTCACTGATGGGTCAGTGGGGGTGTATGACAAGGTGATTTTTTCAACTGGGTACCATTACCATTTCCCGTTCTTTCCCCGAAAGGACCATTTCCAATTAGTTAACCCTGGTAATTTATGTAGAGTAGGTGGATTATTTCTCAATACATTTGATCAACATGATCCTACTCTTGGAGCGGTTGGGATCACGGTGTCACAACTCAATTTCCACACTATTGAAGCTAGTGCAGCTGCATTGGCTGGTGTCTGGTCTGGTGCGGCGAGATTGCCACCATTGGAAGAACAACAAGAATGGGAGAGGAGTATGGTTGCTGAGCGTGGTGACTCTGCTTTTTTCCATTACTACAACCACCACAATGCTAAACATTTCATCAACGCTGTTTCTCCTTATTTCGCTCGTGGGAGGTACAATCCACTTGAGGCTGATGGTGGGTTTGTGAGTGAAGTTGATGAAGGTGCTAAGAAGTTGGAGGAGTTATTTCATGGGTTGAAAGATGGCAGAATTAGAATCAAGGATACTAATCCTGCTTATAAAGAAAGGGAAGAAAGTAAAGAGGACAGAGACGGACCGTGCAACAAGGACACAGACACAAAGATCAGCGTTAGTGAATCCAGCCCCATTCTTGTTTAGATTTATTTATTCTATAGAGTTTGAAATGATAACTTGCAATATCACCTAAATACTCTCTCTCTCTCTCTACAATAAGTCTGATAACTCTATAATTGCTTGAATAAAAAAAAAAAATATGTAAAATCCCGTTCTAAATATACAAAATCAACTTCCCTTATTTAACAACCAATCAAACTATTCTTTGGGAATGAGTAACCTCCATCCTCAAAAGACGTGATGTTTGGATTCGTATAAAGGTTCAAATGTTCTTGAATGTAATCATAAGTTGGGTAATCATCAGGATCACAACCAACATTGATTTGGTCCTCAGGTTGGTATATTCTGACATAATCAATGTGAAACTGCGATGGAAATACAACAGAGTTCCAATCAATATAAGCCCAATTGTTACTGATACCAAGATTGAAAATGAGCGACATTGGTTCCTTGGACAAGGGTCTCCATCCGATATTTCCGTTGGGGTGAAGAGCGGTGGAGTAAACCGTCAATGTTGGGTCTCTTCCCACGTACCATCTCAAATATCCATCAGAGTCGTCGTTTAGCAACTCAAAACCAAAACGCTGGTATTGGTGTTCCAATCCATCACCTCTCTCGTACCACGTTATATTCAAAGTTGTAGTGGCGGAAAATGCTTGCTGGAAAGGACCACCTGCATATGTGTTCATTGTGGTGATGGAGTAGTTGTAAATTTCAATGAAATCGTAATCTGGCATATACCAGATATCCATAGGTGCCAATTGCAATGATTGTGAGGCAACACCATTGTTTTGCTTGTTTGAATCAGTAGTGGTCATAATTTCACCTTCGATGATATCGATTTCTGGGGCACCTCTACCTGTGCCTCGGTTAGGATGTGACTCTCCGGGACATGTACATTTGTTCAATCTTTGTCCTGGAAGATAAGAGATTCCATCTGGTGAAGATTGGTTCGGGGTGATACCTGCGTCGCATGAATCGTACGAGTACGGCCAAACCCCCTCAGTAGAGCCCAAATATCCGGGACGACCTAGATTGCCCATTGTCCACAAACCAGGCCATAATCCAGAAACAGTTCCGTAATTGGGCAATCTTGCAGAGACTTCGATTCTTCCCTGAGTGAAACACATCTTGTTCCACGATTGCACCATACCGGAACGGTAAAACAAGTCGTGATTCTTGAATGCATCTAGACGCAAGACCAAAGTACCATTAGCGGTGGTGACGGCATCTGGGTCATACCATTCGAGATCCTTAGTGGCATCATAATGAATATCAGGGGCAACGAAAAATTGGTCGTCATCGTCGTAGAAAGTTCTTCCCTCGGCGTTGAACTCGTCAGAAAACACCAACTTCCATTTGTCACCACCCTTCGATTCCAAAGTCAATGCGTCGCTTGGGGTGTCGGGATCAACCAAGTCCTGGCGTATAGCGCTCAACATCGGATACTCATATTGGGTCAAGACTTCATACGATTCTGGTTTGATATGGTGCGTTACTCCGGAATATGTCAATGCTGGTAACAATATAAACACCACCCCAACGGCTAAACCTAATGCAACAACACCCAACAACCCCCCAAGTGAACGTTTGTCCATGTGTTTTATATCATACAAGAATCTGTTGTTGTCATATTCTGCATCAACTACTGGATCAGGGTTATGCAAGTAATCGTCTGGCTCCTTGTCCTCGATGGTCAAGGGAAAGGACGATGCGGGATATCCACCAAATGGAGAAAAATCATTTGGGTAAGGACTTGAATTCTGCGATGCTAGATCATTTAGGGAATTTGAAGATGAGGATTGCGAAATGTGGTAATTGTTTGTAGCGCCCATCTTTTCTTTTTCTGGAAAATTGTTCATTTGTGTTGCTAATGAAGCTGAAGACACAACTCTAGAGCCTGCCATTGACGGATACCTGTCAAATTCAGCAGGGCTCGACGGGTTTAATCGATCATAGTCTCTGTTGAGCGCTCTAGACTCATCTGAACTTGACGTTTCATTCATGAGTAGGTTGGAACTACCACCATTTGTGTAGTATCCTCCATGTGACAGGAAAGCATTTCCATACGACTCTAGGTTGTTATGAGCTCCTATCCTCTGCAGCTGTGGTTGTTGAAAATCATATCCTGTATTATGAGGTGATGCTGACGAGTGTGATGAAAGTTCCCCATCATCGCCAAATGGGTTCCTGTTGACATCATCTTGTGATGTGTTTTCATAGTCGGGAGTATTTATATTGAAACGAGGGGCATTTGATGTTAGATTTCTATCGGCTGCCATTGTGGAAATAAGAACGGAGATCCCTCAAGACTATTATTCTCTTGTCGTCAATATTTTCTTTGCCAAAACAAAACAGGGGTTCACCTAGTAAACTAATTTGTAATTTCTTGGGCTCTGGAGATCTCTTTCTCTTGGCTTCAGTTTTTTAAGGTTTTTAAGCGAATGTCAACAGATTTGAGAACAGATGGGCCCTAATTCTGATCTGTGATGTGATGTGGTGGCTGTCTGGACAACGGTAATACAGTTGTAGATGCTATATGATAAAAGATGTAGATAGGTGAAAAAGGAAAAGTATCTTGTATATGTTTATGATACCCTTTTCTGTTGAAAAGATCTCTCGCCATATTATCTTGCACATTTCTTTTTTTTTTTTTTTACTATTGCTTATGGCTTAGGTGCTTAGTTAGTACTAGAAGTCGTGTCAATTGTAACAAAAAAAATTCCTACTTCAATCTCAAGTTCTTTGTGTAATGTTATTATTGGCCCTAATTGAATTTCTTTTTTTTTTTTTCCTTTCTTCGCTGTATCTCTATTGTTTGTCATGCCTTTTGTTTTTTGTTTTTTTTTTCTCGTGTCGTGTTCAGAGTCTGCTGCTCCCATTCTGTTTAAAGTTTCATGGCCTAAAGGGGAAGCCTTCCCCATGTCTTCTACTCGTCCAAGAAGGCTGATTGACCTCTTATGCTAGTACATTTTTCAAACACTTCAATCTCTAGAAATCTCTTTTAGTTTACACAACTATATGCAGGTGTTTTGGTATCTCAAACACGAACATGCCAGATGCAACAAACAACAATTTTGCGACCTTTTTATTTTTCTTCTAGATATGTTTGTGTGTGCGTGTGCGTGTGTGTGTGTGCCTGAATGTTATATGGCTGGTCAATCTGCTTGATAGTGCTCACACATCAAGGGCTTTTGAAAATCTCTTTCCTGTTCCGTGATCATTGCCATAAAACATCCACCCACGCAGCAAGTTTTGTAGCAACAAAGGACGGTCCCATTGACCCCTTCTAAACACGCCAAGTAAAAAGCCACCAAATTTTCCTTCACATTGCTCGCAGAAACGAAGATGTTTCGAGGGATGAAAATGATTTTGCACCAATTGTATTGTGTTGTGCTTTGCACAACACAAACAAGTGGCTATTGTCTGCCGAGACAAATCAAAAGGGGGGGCGAAGTCAATACTGTGCTTTGATATCCGGAAAAAAAAAATAAAAAAAGAAAAAAAGAAAACCAAAACAACAGAGAGCAACTTGAATCAGCAGACGTACAATAGGTTAAAACTTTCTTCAACGACGTGAAATTTTATAACAGACGCGTGTAGTAAATTCCATCGCCACAATAGGAATCAGGCTTTTGGCCACTACGCATATAAACGAAGTTTAATTGTCCTTCAGTTTAAAAGACGTATTTCCAAAACAAGTCTATTTCTTTCCATATCTGGACACTGTATCACGTAATCAATAGCATAAGCTTTTTCAAAGTTTGTAACAGGCGGTGCAGAAACACCTACACAAAAAAACTTTACTGTTGAAGGGCCTGCCCACTCACAACCGATTTTTGCAGCTGTTGAAATTAGTAGACAGCTTCCTGTTTATTGTAGCTCACTAGGGAAGGTTGGGGTGTGCTCAAGGGTGGATACTTGACTCTTTGAATCTCCGTCTGGTGCGCTAAGTACCAACAAAAAGCTCGCGTTACCAATCTCAAACTACCATATCCATCACCATAGCCCACATCTTATTCTCTCTATCCTTATGATATCTCGCAAGAAGACACAATTCAAAACTGCTCAACCTCATTCAAACTCACTTTGACTTTTGGGTTGTCTTTTCTTTTTTTTTTTCTTTTCCTCCTACCTTAGTCAAGAAAAATTTCATATTATTTTGCAACCCAAGAAATATTTTTTAAACTCCAAGACTAAACTGTAAAAAAAGCACGAATCTGCAAAGAAACATGAGAAAGTAAAAATAAATTTATACTTATGTATATATATATATAATTTGGGAAAAGCGTTGAGAATGAAGAGAGAAGTGAAGAGGTTTAACACGTTTTAGCTAGTTTCGTAAAGTTTAGTTGTGTCAAACATGAGGCGCAACTTGACTCAACCCTCAATCAACTTGGTCAGTGAAGACAATGACAATCACTATGAGCAGTTGCACGAAGGATCACAATCACCGGTAAACCCATTCGAACCAGAGCAACATCAGCAACATCAGCAACATCATCAGCAACATCAACTGGACAGTTATGAATACTCGCCGACACGTCTGACCGATTCCGGATCGTTTTACTTTCAGAAAGACAACAATGATGATTATCAAGCACAGGAACAGAACCTGCATGGCACGAACGAAAACACAGTTACATACAATCAATACGTCCACAGAGGCTACCCCGATTCCAATGACTCGCAATCGCCATATTCACAATCACCTGTACTTCCAAGAGATCGGTCATTCCAACCACTATTATCAAATAGTTCGCCAACACGAACAAGAGCAGGACTGGAGTTGCTCATAGCCACACCAACAATCCCAGCTTATGATCGATACCCAAAACAAACCAATTCGATGCAATTCTCCACGTCAAGTTTACTCTACGACGATGAAATGAATAATTCAATCTCCTCTCCATCTTATGACAATGATTTTTCCCCCTTTGGTGGGTACCCAGCCAGTCAATTCCCACTAAGTATAGATGAAAAGGAACCCGATGACTACTTGCACAATCCTGACCCAGTTTTGGATGCCAATTACAACCGAAATCGGTTCTTGTACGACTTGAAACATATGGATAGGCGATCATTTAATGGATTGGTCGCTTTGTTAGTTTTGATGTTGGCGACATTTGGTGTCTTTATTGTCCTTCCTGTATTAACATTTGCCACTTCTCATTCAAAATTTGTACCGCAAGTCTACGAACTCTTGTCATATTACGAGTATCCCATGTTGAGCGCTATACGACAGGACTTGATTGATCCTGACACGCCTGCTGAAGCATTGACCAATGTTGGTCAGGATGGAAGAACTTGGAAGTTGGTGTTTTCAGACGAGTTCAACGCCGAGGGAAGAACTTTCTACGACGGTGACGATCAATTCTTTACGGCTCCAGATTTCCATTACGCTGCAACCCAAGATCTCGAATGGTATGATCCTGATGCAGTAACCACCGTGAATGGAACATTGGAGCTAACCATAGACGCATTCAAGAATCACGACTTGTTTTACCGTTCCGGTATGGTGCAATCGTGGAACAAGATGTGTTTCACTCAGGGAAAATTGGAATTCTCGGCACTGTTACCTGGATATGGCGACATTTCAGGTTTGTGGCCCGGGTTATGGTCGATGGGAAATCTTGGTCGGCCAGGCTATTTGGCCACTACGGAGGGGGTTTGGCCGTACACGTACGATAGTTGTGACGTTGGCATTACTCCAAACCAATCTTCACCAGATGGAATCTCGTATCTTCCAGGGCAAAGATTGAACAAATGCACATGCCCTGGTGAATCACACCCAAACCCCGGTGTAGGAAGAGGCGCCCCTGAAATCGATGCATTGGAAGGAGAGATCCACGGCGTAATTGGTCGTGTTTCCCAATCGTTACAAATTGCCCCCTATGACATTTGGTATATGCCCGATTACGACTTCATTGAGATCTACAATGCGTCAGTGACGTTGATGAATACTTATGCCGGTGGGCCATTCCAACAAGCTGTTTCTGGTGTCACTATGTTGAACACGACATGGTACCAATTTGGCGAAGATGCCGGCAAGTTTCAGAAGTTTGGCTATGAGTACCTCAACGACGATGCAAATGGATACATCACCTGGTTTGTCGGCGATGACCCGACATTTTCAATGAAATCAAAAGCACTACATCCCAATGGTAACATTGGGTGGAGGCAAATACCCAAAGAGCCAATTAGCATCATCATGAATTTGGGTATATCCAACTCGTGGGCTTATATAAATTGGCCAAGCTTGGTTTTCCCAAGTAAGATGAGAGTGGATTATGTCAGAGTGTATCAGCCAGAGGATGCAGTGAATATGGGATGCGATCCGGATGATTACCCAACTTACGATTATATTCAACAACATCTAAACATCTATCAAAATATGAACTTGACTACTTTTGAAGATGGCGGTTACACATTCCCCAAGAATAAATTGACAGGCTGTTAAGCTTGTTCGTGGTATATGATTGAATGCGCTTTACCTGGATAAATCTCATCCAAAGCTTCTTTGTTAAATTCGCAACTGAAATCTCCTGTGGACAAGTTGATGAAATTCATTACACCTTGGTTGACAACTGCAACTATAACAGGGGATGAACCTTGCTTGAATCCTAAATCGCGTCGCTTCCAATACTCATTCCGCAATTGAATCGATTTGTCCAACTTTGACTGCCGTTCAGCTTGTTGTTTGGCCCGTATTTGACGCTTGGACTCGACACGTGGTTGCTTTTTAGGTGGCTTCTTTTCATTTACTGAGCCAGCTTCTTTGACTTGTAGCTGCTGTTGTAAATGCTGTATCTCAGACAAAGTCATATATGATGTATCTTTAGATGAATCAATCACAACCAATTGGAAATCTGGAGGAGGTGGTGATTTTTTAGCAAATGAAGGCGTGGGTCTCCATATATTATAGGTGATTTGTAGTTGCTCTTTTGGTGTAGTCGTGGTGATCTTGTCATTATTTAATGTTATCGCTTTGTAAATGCTGGTGTAGTTGAAATAGGACTTTGTTTTGAAATGACAGGTGTGCAATACGGGATAGGCAATGAGTCCCCATTCGCGAGGAAGTAACCAGAATGACACATCCATGGTGGCATTGCAAACATTGGCTTTTTCAATGGCGGGGGTCAGCAGCGGCGTTTGCAAAATATACCCCAAACGTTTCAAATAAGAGTAAACTTGATATTGCAGTATGTCAACCTTGGTAAGGCAGTACAAATACTCAAGATCCAACGCCCAGAGCTTATTTTCAATGTCAAACTCCGCCCCACCACCACCCATCCATTCTTCAAACTCTTTATTCGACAAGTATGCAATTAAACTCCCCCTTTCAACCAAGTATACTGTCTCGTATATATTCAAGTACATGATTGTCCCATGCGCAACACCCATGTCTCTGAAAAAGTTGCCACGAATCTGCAATATTAGACATTGATTCAACTTGGGCACCCACACTCCAATTAGCTTGTGTTTGATATGGTGACCTCGCTCGTTCGACAAGGCGTCAAACATTGCCTTTTGGGACTCTTGTAGTGATTGATTTTGCACAGCTGTTCCATCCGGTTCGAATTCCTTTTCACCGCGTTTCGGAATCGCCGATGTTGCTGATGTGCGGGCGCCTAGAAGTTTCCAGTCCTGTACCTCATCCTCTATATCATGGAGGTTATCGGATTGAGAGTTGGATGTGGTGGCAGTAGGAGGCTCGTCATCGTCTGAGTTTGACATGGGTGAAGGAGAAGGTGGGTGTTACCAAAAGAGATTTTTGAATTTTTATGCGATGATATTTCACGGGACACAAAAAATGTTGCAAAAGCCAAAGTAGTTGGAAGTTATATAAGTTCGCCTTTCAAGAGTGAGGTCCTGTGTTACTGCCTCATTTTCCAAAAGGAGGGGGGGGGGGGGATTGCTTTTGGCTCTTTGAGTTTACAGACAATCTTGCGTCTCCATTTCGTAGACTGTTTGCGTGCTTTGTAGAGGATAGGTTCACCACCTCCATCGTAGGGAGGCCGCAAGTACTGTTACTTCTAAAGTTGTTGATCACGTTGATAGAGGGCAAAGTGAACTATATAAATCTAATGTACCTATTGTGTGGATTTTTTTTATCTATCGTGTGCTGGCAACTCAACGCATCACATCCAAAGTTTTACAGAAGATTAGAAAAATCGCGACATTCTATCTTTCCACTTTAGATCATCACACCAGCATGACAGAGGCACAAGTGACGTATCACACACTAGTATGTTCGAAGCATGCGTTCTTCAAAGCTTATCTTTTCAAACCCAAACTAACTGATGACTAGACGGAATCATTACTCAAGGACATGATTTCGATTATCATAAAGCAGCAAATTGCCAACACTTATAGCGATTACATGACCGTGGAAAACAATACTGTTGCCGACCCACAAGTAGACCAATTACTCGCCAATTTCAATCAGCCCAAGGACGTCAGTCGTGACATTTTTGGACAGGATAAAACCAAATTGAAAACAAATGAGACTTCGCGATACTTTAGTTGTGAGAATTGTGGGCGTAAGATTGCGGGGGGAAGATTCGCTCTGCATGTGAATAAGTGTTTGGAGAGAAAGAGAAAGACTTGAGTGGGGAGAATATGGTTGAATTCCATTATAAAACTAACTTCGGGATGTCATTTGAGATTGCGATGTATAATATAAACCCTTTAAAGGACCCTATTGGGTGGTACATGTTCCAAGACCAGCTTTGGACTCTGGCAACTTACCTTCAGCAGACGTTTTTCACCACTGCAACAAACAAGATCAACTTGCAGCATACAAAGAATACATGGATATGAAGTGGGACTGGAAATTCGAGTACCATTTCGTTCATCTTGATGTGAACCTGGAAAAAAACAGTCAAGACTGAAGATGGTTTTGACGAAAATTTGTCTCAATTAGTGGGGTGGCGTTGTAACAGGACTTATTTGAAGATTAGTGCTAAATGGACTTAATTTGGGTGAGCAGTGACAGTGCAGTCGTGAGAGATGATTCTAGGGCTGCTCTAAATACATTGATTGATTATCAGGTGGCTTGCCAATGCTCCAGGGATTCTTTATGTTGCACTAGATAAATATCGTCGTTTATGTAGTAATTGCAAGTAAGAACCAAACATCCCCTCCTTGAAACATAAAGACAATAACCACCTTATTCAAGTTAAGATTTGCAGTTGTTTTATCGAAACAGCCAGCCAGTTTCTATAAAAGGTCACGTGTATACTTGGAAAAATAAAAACAAAAAAAGGAAGTAATCGATTACGTAACAAATCTTGGGAGAGGAGGAGATAAAACAAGTGATTTCGTATTTGGCGGGGTATTCCCTATATCATCCACACCGTGAAGCAAATAATTTCGGGAATTGGCGGTTATACTCGCTAAAGCTTTTACTCAGCATACCACTACTCGAATTCAGTAGATACTGAGGGGATGCTAACAGGCTAAGAGCAATCATCTCTCGGTTACACACATACAGGAAAGGTCATCTAGACCCCATCATATGAAGCATCTCCATTGCTACACATCATACTTTGCCTCAGTATCTCGATTTTAGTGCAGCATTCTTTATTATAAACTCGCTATGTGATCTTACCCCAAGTTTTTGCGTTTTTTTTGTGTGTGTGTGTGTGTGTGTTTTCACTTCGGAGTTTGAAATTGAATTGAGATCTGTATCTGAGGGGTTGTTATACATTCCTAGAGTATAAAAAGGGGTGGGAAGAATTCGCCAAAACCGGTCCATTTACTTGCTCTTCAACTTATACAATGTCTAGCTTATTCTCTGATTGCACGGCTGCCACAGCTTTCTCTAGGTTGCCCTTTGGAGAAGATGTTAGCAAATCGATCTCATTGGGACCAGATTCAAACAAATACAATAGCGCCAACTATTCGCAAACTTTCAGAAACAAGGCATACTCTGAAAAGTTGATTGATTCAATTCATCCTGATTTGAACACACATGCCAAATTGTTCAACAATGCCGCAAAAGTCTATGCTGATCGTCCATGTTTAGGAGCTAGACCCTATGATTACCTGAAAAAAAAACTGGCTAACCATTACGAGTATTTGACATATGCAGAAACCAACGCAAAGAAAAGACGCATTGGTGCCGGGATCATTAAATCACTCAACGATAATCAGTACCTTAACTTGGATTTGGAACCACACCGAAAGATTGCGAATCATTTAAAGGATTGGAAGAATTATGGAGTTCCCAACTATCTTCGCGATAACAATGATCATGTTATTGAAAAAAGTTGCTCATTCATTTTGTCAATCTTTGCTGTCAACCGTTTGGAATGGATGTTGACGGATTTGGCGTGCTCTGCCTATTCCATCACAAACACTGCTTTATATGACACGTTGGGACCGGATGTTTCGCAATACATTTTGAACTTGACGGAAAGTCCAATTGTTGTTTGCACTATCGACAAGGTTAGAGCTCTCCTCAATTTGAAGAAGAATTACCCCAAGGAGACTAAAGCGTTGATTTCGATTGTTGTGATGGATCCAATACAATACCTTGACCCCAGCTTGTATGGCTTGGCTAAAGAGTTCAAAGTTGAACTTACCGACTTGGAAGCTATTGAGTCATTGGGTAAAGCCAACCCGATTCAAGAGTTGCCACCTTCGCCAGAGGCAATCTTTACAATATCATTCACATCTGGCACAACTGGCTCCAGACCAAAAGGTGCCATGATTCCCCACAGAAGTGCTTCGTCATACATTACATTTATTGCCTGTTATGAACCCCAGGCTAAGCGTAGTGACATTGCCTATATATTTCTTCCATTGACACATTTGTTGGAGAGGGAAACCAGTGCATTTGCTTTCTCCACTGGTTACTCATTGGGTTTCCCCCAAACGACTGTTGGGCAAACTGGTCTCAACACTTTTTCAATCATGGTTGATGATCTAAGAGTTTTAAAGCCAACATATATGTCCATTGTCCCAAGATTATTGACGAGAATGGAAAGTTTGATCAAGGAGAAAGTGAAACAACTTAACCCGGAAGAACAACGCAAAGTCAACAAGATCATTCAGTACAAACTCCGCGAGCAGGCCAAATTTGACGGATCTGCAGCGTATGACGCCAATCTTGATGCGTATCCGCCATATGAAAATTTGCGTAAATTCATTGGATACGATAGGTTGAGGTGGGTTCAAACGGCTTCAGCACCGGTAGCCGCAACAACGTTGGCGTACCTCAAGGCAAGTTTGAACATGGGTATTCGTCAGATGTACGGGTTGACCGAGTCTGGTGCCGCAATAACTTGTACAGGTGCGTACGATGCACAAGCGGGTACTTGTGGATCTATATCGCCAACTGCAGAGTACAAGTTACGTAGTGTTAGAGAAATGGGATACGATATTGACAAGTTGCAAGGTGAGGTGATGTTACGGGGTCAACAAATGTTTAAGGGGTATTATTACAACCAAGAAGAGACAGATAAATGTATCAATGAGCACGGGTGGTTCCATTCAGGAGATATTGCCACTGTTGATGAAAATGGAAGAATTACAATCATTGATCGTGTGAAAAACTTTTTCAAGTTGGCACAAGGAGAATACGTTTCTCCTGAAAAGATTGAAAATCGTTACTTGTCAGCCAACCCAATCATTAACCAATTGTATGTTCATGGAAATTCTTTGAAATCGTATTTGGTGGGAATAGCAGGTATCGATTACGAGCAAGGACTCAAATTCCTCAATGGTGAATTTGGTATCAACAGAATTGGCATGAGTGAGGAGGAGATGTTGACCCACATGAACAAAATCGAAGTCAAGACAAAACTCTTGCACGTTTTGAATGACAATGTCCGTGGCCAATTGAATGGGTTTGAGTTGTTGCACAATATCCATATTGAGATTAATCCATTGACTGTTGAAAGAGATGTTGTTACGCCTACTTTTAAGTTGAAAAGACCAGTTGCTCAAAAGTTTTTTGCCAATGCCATTCACAAGTTGTATGAGATTGAACAGAGTTTGTTTGCAGAGACTAAATTAGGAATTGCTAAATTATAGGAAGTAAATCTGTTTGGTATAGTTATTAATGTAAGAAGTACTAGACAAGTTATCGATTATCTTTACTTGAAATAAGTGCAACAGGATGAGCAGTGTTGAGTAAAATACACCACAATCACAATTGAAATGCTGTAATCCGTCACATTGATGCAAAATTCTATATCACACAGTAAACCAATTTCCGCTTTTTATTCTCCGCAAATTCCACTAGCATACAACACTTCAAGTGGCTCACCCAAAGCCTCAAAAATGAAAAAGTTTTCCACTTATACATATAAATATACATATGTCTCCCTGCTTTAGACAAATACAAGAGTCACCACTGTTCTTTCAAACTCCTCCTAGTCAGTAATATAGTATGCATTTAAATCGAGTTTGATTTGTTCTATTTCCGACGAAACGCGACATTCACTACAAGGTCGGCTTGTCGCAACATTGCAAATTATGAAACCCCCACACCATACGCATAAATCCCCATACAGAGAAGAGTACACAATAATAATACACAATACTTTTTTACCCCAACTACACGGACTGTTCCTCTTTTTGTACCATTAATACGCCGTCGCTTCTTTCTTTTTTTTTTGCAGATCCAACAAATATCAGAAAAGAATGAAAAAGAAACAGTCAAAGAAAATAATAATCAACAGACTGTCCCGGGGTTTTTCTTGGATGTAAAGTATAAATAGGGGAACGGTCTAATCTCACAGCTACAGCTATCACTTATTCAATCATCAACAATGTCAAGTTTGTTTTCATCCGCTGATTATACCGTTGAGGATGCATTTTCAAAATTGCCCTTTGGCGAAGATGTGCTCAGCTCAATTCCTTTGGGACCTGATTCAAACAGGTACAATAGTGCTAATTACTCCGAGACTTTTAGAAACAAAGCCCATACCCAGCTCTTGCTTGATTCAATTCACCCAGATGTAAACACACATCCAAAATTGTTCAATCGTGCCGCAAAGGTCTATGCCAGTCGCCCATGCTTGGGAACTAGACCTTATGATTATGAGAGAAGGAAACTGGCCAATCACTTTGAATATTTCACTTACAAGGAGGTGCATACAAAGAAGAACAACATTGGTGCAGGAATCATTAAATCGCTCAATGCTAACAAGCATCTCAATTTAGAGTTGGAAGCACATAGGAAAGTTGCAAACCATTTGAAAGACTGGCAAACATATGGTGTGCCTAATTATCTCCGTGACAATAAAGACCACATCATTGAAAAAAGTTGCTCATTTATTGTATCGATTTTTGCTGTCAATAGATTGGAATGGGTCGTGACTGATTTGGCATGTTCTTCCTACTCCATTACAAATACCGCGTTGTACGATACATTAGGACCTAACGTGTCACAATTTATATTAAATGCAACAGAAAGTCCTATGGTTGTCTGTACTCTTGACAAAGTGGAAACAATACTCAATTTGAAGAAGGGGTTCCCCGAACAAACGAAATCTTTGATCTCCATAGTTATCATGGATCCAATTAGATTCTTGGATGCCAGGTTGAGCAAGTTGGCTGAGGAATTGAGGGTTGAAATCACCGACTTGCAAGCTATTGAAGAGTTGGGTCGAGCAAATCCAATTCAAGAATTACCTCCACGTCCTGATACTCTTTTCACCATTTCATTTACATCGGGAACGACTGGTGCAAATCCTAAAGGTGTTATGATTCCACACAGAATGGCTGCTTCATACATTTCGTTTTTGGCATGCGTTGAGCCACAAGCTAAGCCAGGTGATATTGCCTTCATTTTCTTGCCATTGACTCACATCTACGAAAGGCAAACAAGTGCATATGCACTTTCAGGTGGGTACGCGCTAGGTTTCCCTCAAACCACCGTTGGCCAAACTGGAATTAATACTTTTGCCAATATGATTGACGATTTGAGAGTTTTACAACCTACATACATGTCTATTGTTCCAAGGTTGTTGACTAGGTTGGAGGGTTTAATCAAGGCGAAAATCAAAGAATTAGATGCAACTGAGCAGCGTAGAGTCAATCAAATCATTGAGTATAAACTTCACCAACAGGCAAAACATGATGGAGAACTGGGCTATGATACAATGTTTGATTCCTATGCCCCTTACTACAACTTGCGTAAATCCATCGGCTACAGCAGGTTGAAATGGGTGCAAAGTGCATCGGCACCTCTTGCGCCATCTACTATAGCATATCTCAAAGCAAGTTTGAACATTGGTGTACGTCAATTGTACGGCTTAACAGAGTCAGGTGGGGCTATCACATCGACCACTGAGTATGACTCCAAACCAGGTACTTCTGGCTCCATTGCGCCTACAGCGGAATTGAGATTACGTGGTGTGAGAGACATGGGATATGACGTGAGCAAATTGGAAGGTGAAGTGATGTTGCGTGGACCACAAATGTTCAAAGGATATTACTATAATCAAGAAGAGACAGATAAATGTATCAATGAGCACGGTTGGTTCCATACCGGAGATATAGGATGTATTGACGATCGGGGAAGATTAGCCATTATTGATCGTGTGAAAAACTTTTTCAAGTTGGCACAAGGAGAATACGTTTCTCCTGAAAAGATTGAAAATCGTTACTTGTCAGCCAACCCAATCATTAACCAATTGTATGTTCATGGAAATTCTTTGAAATCGTATTTGGTGGGAATAGCAGGTATCGATTACGAGCAAGGACTCAAATTCCTCAATGGTGAATTTGGTATCAACAGAATTGGCATGAGTGAGGAGGAGATGTTGACCCACATGAACAAAATCGAAGTCAAGACAAAACTCTTGCACGTTTTGAATGACAATGTCCGTGGCCAATTGAATGGGTTTGAGTTGTTGCACAATATCCATATTGAGATTAATCCATTGACTGTTGAAAGAGATGTTGTTACGCCTACTTTTAAGTTGAAAAGACCAGTTGCTCAAAAGTTTTTTGCCAATGCCATTCACAAGTTGTATGAGATTGAACAAAGTTTAATTGTGGGAGCAAAATTGACAATAGCCAAGTTGTGAGTATGCCAATAAAAGAAAATCTCTATAAGTTAGAGTTCTATTGTAGTCATGTTGAAGTGATTCTTTTCAATCTCTCTCTCTCGCCCTTTGTGTTATGCGCTTTGATTGACTCATCTATTCTGTCTGTTTTATTTTTTCTTTTTTTTTTTTTTTTTT